AGCGAGCCAGGTGGGTCTAGGCAGGTAGGAATTAAACTGCTTCCATGCTGCTGTTGAGCAAGGTGGCTGGACATCAGTGAGTTACAAAGGTTGATTGGGAGGGAAAACCGCATGCCACCAGGCCACTCCGCTAGTCCGTGCCTCTGCAGCAGGGAAGCCAACGCGCAGCCTGTGCACCCTCCGAGTGCTCATGCGAGGTGCGCTTCCTGCAAAGAGAGACACAGAGCGGAACAGTAAGCTGGTGGCTGCAGTTTCAGGCGAGCTGGGGGGAGCAGCCAGGGGAGCTGTTGTGTGTACCTGGTATTTCACACACAGTGTCGGCAGTTCCGGTGCCTGTGCACACCAGCAGGTCAGGCCAGCGAGGACCGAGCGCCTTCCCCCTGCTCCGTCAGCTGCCCGGGAACAGAGCCCGCTCGAGGTCACCCCCACGCTGCTTCACCGCTGCAACCCCAGGGAATACCCGTCCAGAGGCAGAATGTTCAGACATCCAACACTTCAGTCACCCCCGCTTTAATGCCATTAGTGATGCAGCAACATGTATATATATTTACATATAAATACAAAATGGTCAGATACCACATTTTAAAGCATAATTTATAATCTAAAACTGCTTACACTTTCATAACTAGGCTTGGGTTTTTCTCATTTACATTCATAATTTAATTCCACTGGAATTTGATTTTTAAGAAAGCCCAACATATCTTAATTAGCATAAAAAGATCCATACATATTTTACTTAAAAATATCTTCTGTAAGAGGAAATTTACCAAAAATAACACAAACTATATTATTATGCATACATTTTTTTTTGTAAAGTACAAACAATCCGATCTCTTCTGGGTATTGCCTGATCTAATATGGCTATAGGTTCTATAGACTTAGTTTGTTTTTCAAAGTAAAGGGAGAGACGTAAGAAATGTGAGAACGCAAACGCGAACCAAACCGCCTTCCTCCCCAAGATAGATACCAATGAAAACACTTTGAAAACCAAGAAGTGATAACAGGTACAAAGAAACATTATCCAAGCGCTATGCAGTCCCTTGTCAGAGCACGTGTCGCAATGACCTTGCAACAGGTATTAAAAACGGCAAAAAAATGCTACCGGCAGGAAAAGCTGTTGAGCAAAACCACTGAAAAATGGGTACTGTTTCCTAACAGGTGCAGAACTGATAGCATTTTACGCTTCCCCCACGTATGCACACTTCCGTCTCCTTCTGTTCGCAGGACTGATTGTTGCCACCCTGGCCGTCTGCTGGATGCCAAACCAGGTCAGGAGGATCATGGCTGCTGCTAAGCCCAAGCAGGACTGGACCGTCCCCTACTTCCGGGCGTACGTCACTCTTCTTCCCATCGCCGACATCTTCTTCTACCTCAGCTCGGTGGTGAACCCACTCCTGTACAACATCTCTTCTCAGCAGTTCCGCAGCGTGTTTCTGCAGGTGCTCCGCTGCCGCCTGACCATACAGCACGCCAACAAGGAGAGGTTTCTCAGAGCCAACCTGAGCTCCACAGCGAGGAGCAGCCGGTCTCTGCGCCCGCTGCTCTTCATGTCATCCAGGCGCAATTCTTCTACAAGGGGCAGTAACAAAGTTGTCTTAAGCACTTTCCAGGGGGAGAGCAAGCCCGCCTGCGGTCCTCAGCGACCAGGTCTCGAGCCCCCGGCGCCCAGCCTGGACGAGGCGCCACTGGAGACTGGCTCGGAGCCCCATGCGGGCGCACAGAACGGCCTTTGTGAACACCAGGTGTGACTTCGTAAGGCAAAGTTGAAGCACTGAACTTAAACCCACGGAGATTAAAATGACTGAGGAACTGACTACATCTTAAAAGGAGCAACACAGATGGAATTGTTTCCAATTATGCAAAAAGAGCAGGAGTTCTGTATCCCGCTGCTGGGATTTTAAAGTGCACACTGGAAATTCAATCTGCTAACTGAATTCATTAGCTGCCAAAAATATCAGCCCCTCTCTTCCCACAACCGCCGAACTTCCCTCGTTGTCGACAGGGATTTGGAAACAAACAGAAAATAATTGCAGTGTCTGAAGAAAAGGAGGAGACAGAACAAACTGTGTCAGGGCAAAACACTTGCTTGAAGTTTAGCAATACAAGAACAAAAGAGCCAATTTGAGGAGCAGAACGGTGGTTATCCCGTGCGCCCTCGGCACGATGCCAGAATTCCCCCTCTTCTTCGGCCGGGGCCCGTTGCAGAGTGGCGTGTTGCAGCAGCTGATACAGACAGAGTTCACCTTACCTGGAGAACAAAAGGACTGGTACCCAGCAGAGGCTATCAGACACGCTGCTGAAGACGCGCAGGACTTGCGATACATGATTCCTGTGACACAGAGCAGAGGTTACTTCGTTCGATAGCTGGACACCACGATTCACGCTTGAAGACTGTGGCACAACCAGTTTACATCTCAAAGCAATGCCAGTGACTAGGGCAGACGCCGAGCCGTGACAAGCTGACAGCTCTGCACTGCAGGAGACTCACCCTCCCTCCGGTTTGGGTTTTTCTTTTATCTGATTCTGGTTGAAACCAAAAAATATTACAAATGTGATTTATGTAACATGTATCAATTGATGCATTTTATACCCAGAACTCTCCATCTTTTTGAAGAAGCTGTTTGAACAGCTGTAACTGAAACACAGTTAGTTTGAGAATTACTTTAGTTTCTGTTGCTGAACATGTCTCAGTTGTCTTAAGTAATTAGTTTTCTATGCTGTTAATTTGTTTTTAAGCAATTTTTTTCTCCTTTTCTTGTTCATTTGCCACAAAGACAACAAACCAAGAGTAAAAGGAGAATGCCTACAGCAAAACTTTCATCTCCCCCATGCCCCTTTTATTTTTTAAAGTACCAGAAGTACTGTCACGGGTAACCTCAGCTCTTGCCATCTTTGAAGCTTAATACCCTCAACAACAACACTTCCCATTTGTACAGAAATGGCCTTTCCGAGTTGAAAGTCTTCCCTTTTAAAATGTAATTTGATCTAATTTTAATTATCTAAATAAATTGATAATTTCTCAAATTGTTTATACCTGAGAAAGTACATTCTGATGCACACAGCCGTCATTTTAAAATGCTTTATAAAGGTTTTAACATACACAGCTGCATTTTTCCCCTGCCACGGTGGAAAATGGTTGTGGCATTCAACCTCTCATTACTCTCAGATTTTCGTGCAAGTGATACAGTAGAAATTGTGTGTTGGAAGAACATCGACATAACACATAAATAGATAATGGAGGTTTGCTCGTGTTGCCTTGTGGTTACAAAAAGAGGTAAATATTTCTAAGGATAATAAAATCACTATTCCTTCTGAAAGTGGGATTCTCAGGTGTCTTTTTTTTTTCTTCTGAAGGGCACAGGAGCAGGATTCCCTTGGATAATGGTGCCTCTGTGTACTGTAGGTCCCAGAACGTTTTATACACAGACAGCGATCCAGACTGGGTTTGGAGGAA